CTACAAAGGAGGAGGAGAATGGGAATCGGATCAGCATGAGATAATAAAGTGGCCTAGATAAAGTATTAGCCAGCAATTGATCTCAAACCAGGATGCTGCTTCTTCTGACCTGATTACTTACTATGCATAGATTCCATTAAATAGAGCTTAGATGTGGGACGCTCCCGGAAATAGTCAAAATGCATAGAAGGATCTACAGCACTCTGCACCCAAACTGTGACCGCGTGGGTGCCTGCAGCCCTTGCCTTCCCTGCTGGAGGCCGGGCCGGCATTCAGGACAGGCTGGGAGGTGACTGGGCTGTCTGACAGCTGATGGCAGCCCCACCGTCCCCCAGGGAGGGTCCTTTCCTCCCCTCTCCCACCCCAGCAGGTGGCCTCTGAGGGAATGGACCCCCCCTGCCAGCTGCTTGTCTGGTCTTGGCCACAGGATGGGATGGTGATGAGGGAGCTTAACAATCACTCAGGGTCATGGTCCCCTTTGAAAAACTAGCGACAACCATGAATTCCTTTTTGCAGGAAAAAAAAAAATGCGAACCCCCATCCACAACACGATTTTACATGTGATTCCAGGGGCTCTAACAGACCTCCCAAAGTCACAGACCTTTGGTTGAGGCCTGAGGATCCAATGCATCCCTTCAATTCTGCAGAGGAAGAGGCTGAAGCAGAAGGGAATGGACTGTTGCTGGGGGTGAGGCGGGAAGGGCCGTGGCAGAGCCCGCTCCTGCTGTCACAGCCCCCCAATCCCTGCCCCAGCTACCAAAGACACTAAAGGAAGAGTAGTTCCTTGGAAGGAATTCCTGTGGTTTAGAGAAGCACAGTCTACGCAGTTGTTTCTCATCTCACCTCTTTACAAGTGTTTAAACAGATAGTCTGAATAGCAATATCAGACTAGGAACCTCATATTTCAGTGTCCAAGCCTTAGGTTGTATCTCTGTGAACGGAAAGGTCTGACGTTGATTCTCTTGGTCCCTTCGATATGCTTACCGACCTTATGGGAAAACTGACTCCCTCTGCATTATCTTCCTCTGGCTACAGTCACCACAATCCTTCTTTGCCCGTGGGAACTGACTTGTCTCCATGCAAGAAGCCAGGACACCTCTGCAGTCAACTGGAGCCTGCTGAGCATTCTTTCTGCCACCTGCTCAGTCTCTACTGCCTGCAAAGTTCCTTCTAGGTCTGGGGGCACCAGGTCATAGAGTTGGGGTGGCTCCATCATAGGTCTTTCCTGTGACTCACACCAGCGTGGTTTTCAGGATTGTAGTCATCACAGGAGCAGAGAGTTGCACGAGACTGGTTCCTACCGGTCTGGTCTCCAGCATGCTGAATGTTCACAGCTACCTGCATGGCTGGTTCTATTCGTGGAGTTTAATGCTGACTCCCAGTTTATGCAACAGGCTCTGACAGAGCTGAAGAAAGGTCACACTTTCCTCAGGCCCAGACGCTTCCCTGCGTTTGAGTAGGAAGTGAATTTCAATGAATTTCAAGGGAATTCACTCAACAAAAAAGGCCCACACGGGAGAGTGTCAGATGGGTGTGCTGCAGTACTTCTATACAAAGCCCACATTTTTAGACATGGATCCTAGAGTTCCTTATTCCAGAGTGGAGTTTCTTAAGAGATGGCCCAGCTGGTGGTGGTTATGTTTCCTATTTGAACTCCATGCTTGTGGGCTTGGAATTCTATTAGGTCATTGTCACATGGGCTTCTGTTTCAGCAGGCACCAGAAGCTTCCTGTTGGTCTGAAAAGGTTTGGGGCCTACACTCAGGGTTGGCCTGTCCTGTTTCCTTTGCTTGGAAAGGTCCCTCAAAAACTCTTAAAATTCAACCGGTCCTCCAAAGGCCCTTTTCAAATGCTACCCCCTCCACACACAGAGCTCTCCCTGGATGAATCCCACAGAACTGGGAGTCCCCGTATAACTGCTGCTTTGTCCTAGTTACTGGTGAATCTGCTGCACCCCTTGCAAGACTATCCATGGGGAGCTTAGTCTGTGTCTCTGGCTGGGCCTAGCATAGGACTGTGCACTATACAGGATGACAAATATCTGCCAAATTCAATCATTTACCTGGTCCTGAGATCTTTTAAGCAGGCGTGGATGCCAATGATGGAACTTTCGAGTAAATTCTTTATGTAGCTTCATGGCTACACACCAGAAAATTGTATCAGCTCATATCTACTGGTGCGAACTTAGGGCATGCATGCCACAGCGGGCTGCTTTTTTTTTTTTTTTTTTTTAATCATTGAAAGATCTAGAAGGTTTGATATCAATGACTGAGACTTTGGCACTCTCAAAATGTGAGTGTTAAGGGAATTTCTTGGTCTGATTTTATGAAACTTCCACTTAGGACATAAAAATGTACAACTATCTGAAGAGAGAGAACTAAGTAGAAAGAACTAAGTAGAGAGAACTAAATAGCTAAACAACTAAATAAATTGTAGCATTAGGATTTTCATGGTCTCTATAACCTGGAGCTTTACATTTCATCTTTGAGACTGGCATGGTCCATGATTTTAAGACTTGATATTAGGCATCCTGGTATACACACGGTGACCCCAAAAACAGAAAGGCAAAGACAGCCTGCGTGCCAGATGCGCAGATCCTGTGGGCCAGGCCCAGGAAAGGGTGATCGGGCCCACCCATCCTGCTGCATTCTGACTTCCTCGGGCTGGGAAGTGCTGCATTCAGTCAAGGCCTCACCTGGAGTTCATTTAAGAGTTCCAAACGGTGAATCTCTGACTCTCAGTATTTACACACGGCTCCATCTCTGATTTTCTCCCTCTGATTTGGAAAATGCAAACCCACAGGGAAACCTTGACAATCCTGCAGGCCTCACAGCTGATGCGGGCCAAGCTGTGTAGCCCACGTTGGTACCCTGCTGGCTGGAGATACCGCGCTTGGGAGATAAACTGCTCTTTTTACAAAAGGCGGAGGCCCCCACCCACAGTGACAAATGGGCTCTATGGTTTGTGCATTCCAGAGGAGGCTCCCGGCTTCCAGATGGGAGCACCATCAAATAGGTTGCAGGCGGAGAGGGAAAGGGAAAAATTAAAGCCATTAATATGCTGGAAGGAATAAAGGAACTGGTTCCCGAAGCCTGGGTCCCTCTGACGTGACCCTGGTCCAAGGCAAGGGACACCTCACTTTCTTTCTCATCCCTTACTGGGTCCAATCTTTTGGCAAAAGTCAGGCAGGGGTCAATCACCTTACCACAACAGCCCTGGCCCCATGTTCCTGCCTCCTCCCTGAGCCCTTTCCAAATGAGGGTGCCGCCTACTGCAGTACCTCTGGGAATAGTCATTTAAAGCCAAACAGGGGCCAGGGATTTAGCTCAGTGGTTCCACCGCCTGCCTTGCAAGAACAAGGACCTGAGTTCAATCCTCGGTACCAAAACAAAACAAAAACAAACAAACAGACAGTAGTATTAAAAACAATGTTGACTTAAGTATAGGATGGTGCTTCATGTGATGATAGCTTTCATTGTACTTTATTGATTTACTGGTACTTATTAATTTAAAAGGTGGGACAGCACACACCAGACTATACAGATATATATCAAAAGACATGTCCTTCCTCTCTTTCTCACACACATGTGTACACGGTGCACACACACACACACACTCACACACACACACTACATCCACTTGCTTCCAAGGCAGCGAAAGTACTCACCCCTTCGCCTCATCTTTATGACCTGCCACCCGAGAGGCGTTCCTTAGCTGCACATACATCTGTACACAGTTATGAGTATACGCATGATCTGCAGATGTTTTATTTATAAGTGGCCAATTCACTGGAGCACTGAGACATGCATTTACAGATACCTGTTTTATAAGACCTTCTTCCTTTGTTTTAACAGCTGAGCTATCCAGCCATAGCATAATAATGCACAAGGTAAATAGGCCTCCATCTCTAAAATCTGTTCCAAGTTTTCTCAAATGTGACTAACTGCAAGAATTGCCCAACCATCAAAGAGATAAAAAAAAAAATCAAACCTGCACCAGTTTAGTCCAGACAATGACACCTAAAGTATAAACTGCAGAGATTTTAGTGGTGAACTTTAACTTGAAACTACCATGAAAACTGAGGTCTTGCTCCAGGGTGATACAAAGAAGAAAAACAGTTATTGGGAGAGTTCTCTCCAAGGTAAAAGTACTTTCTATGTGGGAACGAAAACTGCGTTATACAGAAGTATTTAGCAGGTGAAATACAAAGAATGAAAACCTCTGACCTGGAATCTGTAAAATGCAGATTATTTACCGGGGTGAAAGGTAACCGGCAGGGAGTTGTGGCTATAGTCACATGAGGGCAGGGAGTGGTGCACAAAACATCGGAAAGAGCAGAGTACAATTATTATAGTAACGCTCCATCCCAACGTCATCCTAACAGCTTGTGCATTGTCAAATCAACAATCTGCACTAAATAAATGACCATTTAGGGATTGTTAGGGAGCCTCTCTGTTCCTCTCCCTGCTTGAGTACAAACTGTCATTTGCAATCAAAGCAAGCTGTCTTGGAGCTGAGAACACCGCACTCACAGCCGTGCAGAGTCTCTTCCTGAGGAAAGACCAAAGATTCACATTAACTTGATCTTTTGCAGCCAACCTCATTTCATTTTTGCATGAATCCAAGAGGACTTCCTGCCACGTCCAGCCATTCCTGTCGAACTGCACTAAGATCGTGAACACAGAGCCCGTCTTCTCTGCTCCCAGGTCTCTGCCCCATGGAAGGTGCGGCAGGCAGTGGGGACACAGAGTGGCCCACATTAACTTTGTGACTCTCAGTGAGGCAAAAGGAGGGAGTTCAGTTTCAAAATAGTGGTGAGTTTTTCAAAAGCTAAAACAATAACTGGAGGGTAGAAGCTTCAAAAACACCTACCCAAATGAAGACAGTGATGTTATCTTTCTAGGGCTGGTGGATTTTTAAAATTCCAAGCTGATCTTTTTAACAGAAGGTTAAACATAATATAACTGGAGAAATGTAAAGTAACCAGGAAAATTTACTTACCATTAATTCCTCAGGCGCTGGCCTTTCTTTTGGCTGTTTTCGCATGCTATAGTGGGGAGAAAACAATCCGCATATTATCTGTATCATCTGTAAATTTTTCATCATTAACTTCCACTACTGACTATTTCCCCCTGTATTTGGATGTTTTAAAAATCCATAATGCTCAACTCTTGACCATAGTATTAACCTAGTCCTCCTTTCCTTTTATGTTGGCCTTTCGTCAGATTTCTGAATCAGAAATACAACTTTTTTTAAATTTAATTTTTCAATACAAAGAATGAATTTAAATTTATTCTTATTCTACATTTGAAATTAGTGTGGAAAAATGGCAGTAATATTCTCTTCCTGACTCAGTTATCTATTTATTTCAATCTTATATTTAGGGAACAATATACTTCTTTTTTGGTAATTGGGATAAGACAATAAGGAAATAAAAAGAACTGTGAAATCAAATGAGAAAACATCTCATTCGTTCACTGACTCCCAAGGATAAGTAGTATATAACAGAGGTTAGGAATCTGGTAGAGAATGCTACAAAATTACAAGTGGGTTTTTATACATTATCTCCACTCGAATTTATTTACTCATTTAACAGCTATGGGGCAGCTAAGTTTAAGCTGCTGAACGAATCACATTCCTTATGCAAATAGTTCTTGTTTTCCATCCAATTGGGATAATTAGTAGCTGTGCCATGTACTCAGCTATACGATGAAGCGCTGACCAAAGTGACAGAGGTGACTGTGTGTAGCTGCCTGCTCCAGGGCTGTATCTTTTCTAAACTCAGGCTGTGGGATGAAGTCAGGAGAAGAGATTGCTGCTTTGATCACTTGGGAAAGAACACAGATGCCTCTTGTTCATATAAGGTACCCTTTAATAAGCAGAAATGAAACCCTCCATGTAGTCTTTGCATTTGCTGACAGCACTTTTTTTTAAAATAGAGAGATTTAACGATCATTTGGTAAACAAGAATCGCCGTTATGAACCATTAATGACATCGAGGACATTTGCATTCCCTATAAATAACCATATGCACCTCTCAAATACTGCACCCGTTAGCAAGTAATTCAAGCCATCACCAGTGGAGTTGGTAACAGTCCTAATCTGACATTCCAAAGTAGCTGTATTTCTTGGGGAAACAAGGCTATTACCCACTATCATTTCTGCTTCAGCCTGACATCTGTGGAAATTTCAGCACAGGTTATCCCTCCCTCCGTCTCCATAAAACTTTTATATAACAGCTTATTAATTTTCTTTTTTTTGGATAGGATGATAACAAAGTCTTAACCACTTTTCTTCCTGGCTGCCCAGACCAGCTGTGCCCCCAGGTTGGTCTCAGACCACACAGACAGCCCTGCCCGCTGTCACAAACCCAGTATCTCTGGAGCCGGAGAGGGTGGGGCCCAAGCAGGACTGTAGGCAGCAAGGCAATCGAAAGGTCTGTTTTCCAATTTGTGTGTTGCAAAGTGGGGCATTCCCATGATGCGCTTCTAAGTGTTTTTAGGAACCCTATTTAAAGGAAATTAAGAGATGAATATGTTTCTGAATACTGGCTATAACATCATTAAAGAGCTTCGAAACAGCTCAGGATTCCAGTTTTTAATCAGTATGCCACCCCCCCGGCATGGCATACTTTGGAGACAAAAGATTTGCAGAATAAAAACAGTTTATAAAAGCTACAGAATATTATAGAAGTATTTTAAATAAATAGAAACAGTGTTAAAATTGTTTCAAGTGGGGAGGGCTTCTTCCTCACATTTTCCCTGTGTTATATAAACTGTATGAGACATTTTTATTAAGAGGTAACATATTACACTTAGTCAAAAAGGTGATAACGCTTGACATTTATATTAAGGAATATTTCTTGGCTTCACTTTAGCGTAATCATCAGATGCATCATGGGGGAGGAGACTGTACAGCCTGGGCCCCGACTGTGCCACCTCGCCTACCCGAGGACCAAGGGCTCCCTGTGGCCGGGTCTGCATGCGCCACGGCCCTGACCCCTGGGGGGGACTCTGATGAAGGGAGGAGAGAGGAGCTGAGGTGGCTGTGAAGGAGGGAGTTCCAGAAGGTTCCCTGGTCTGTCTCTGGCCGTGGGGATGGTCATTCCTGTGTAATCCCCCGTGCTGGGGTGAGGGAGAGGGCAGTGCAGTGCTGGCCTCCAGAGGCCACAGGAGCCCTGCAGGAGAGGGAAGAGGGGGGTGGTGGGGAAAGGGCCAGTAAAAGAACGATGCCTTCTGCCGGGAGGAAAAAGGCACAAGGCTGGAACAGAACCTTTGGCAGAAAAATGCATGTCCTTTGGTATAAAATAACAAGGGGCTGCCCAGAGGCTCAGGGGCCCCTTTGGTCTAAATCCTGGGTTTCCCTTAGCTCCTCATGGGACGAAGTGGGCCTAATTGAGCTGTGTCTTCATTGGCTTTCAAACATCAGAATCCGGGGAAACGGGACCCCACTATTGTGTTTAAAATATAACCACAGATAAAAGTTATTTACTGAAAATCCAATGAATTAATAAACTATGCTGCTTCCACCAAGTGACAGGCAGTTTTATGGGTAACTTGAGGTTACATTAATAAAAATATGCTTCATATGTCTGTTCAATAGAGGCTATAAAATTGTACATTTCTCAGGAAAAAACCCCCACCCAGACAGGAAGGAACAGTGCGGTGCTCAAAGGAGGAGCCCGACTCTCAGCAGTTTATTAAAATAGGAAGAGCCTCGGAAGTACATTTATGACCCTTTGTGTAAATAACGTTTACATAATTTAAACAATTTCTTCAGCTTTGCGGCCCCATCTGCCCAAGGCCCCAAAGTCCCTCCCGTCTCCAAAAGGAAGCAGGGAGAGCCATAAGGTCTCCCGGAGCGGCCGAGTTAATGGCATGTAGCGTTTACATTGAGGGCATGGCATGTTTGCAAACGAGCTCACCACTGAGTGATGAAATGTACAAATGGCTCGGAGAACTCTCCAACCGGAAGGACGGGCGAATCCTGGGATGGAGGAAAAACAAGTCACCAAAAGTCAGGACGATTCTTTTTCTGTCTGTTTCGTCCCCCAACCCCTGGGAGCCCATTCGGAGCAGCAGGATAAAGATGAACATCACGACACGAGGCCTCACCCAATTCAAAGGACCGGCTACACCCTCCTTCCACACGTTTAGGCAAAAAATGCCAAATTTTGAGTCCCGCACATCTTTCAGTGGTGAGAAACATGACAGCAAAGAGGGAGGGGAGGTGAGGAAAGGACAATGATAGCCACAGGGTAGGGAGGAAGGTAGGGAAAGTGTAAATGAGAAATTAATGATGATTTAAGTAACACACAAATGGTCTTGTAATTAACAAAGAGCTGTGAAATCATTCTTGTGTTGACCTTTGTTTCTTTTACTGGATTTGCTATTTATTTACACTTTCCTGTTTATTTACATTTATTTGGATATTCAACTGCTCTTAACTGCTTGCCCCTACACTGTACATTTGTGGGGAAACATCTTTCTCTTACTTTAATAGAAAGGCATTTTAGGGGAAGCTTTCCTCTGAAAGGGAATTTCAGCCTCTTCACGAGTCCAGGCCAACTCGTCATAGGAGGAAGCCCGTGGATTAAGGACACAATGAGCAACTCCCGTCTCCACGACCAAACAGAACTGGGACAGTGAAGGGAGGCACCCAAAAGAGCAGGAAGCCACACAGCAACACACAGCGACCGTGATCACCTAACACGGGGAGCAAAGCCCATTAGTGTCTGCACAAGAAGGCTTTAAGAATTTAGGAGTTTTTCCAAGAATGACAGAGAGCGCCAGTGTGTTTATAGTGTAACAGCTCAGGATGTAATGAAATTACACTGCAGAGTACTTTAACAGTCATCTCATTAGACCTACAGTTGGAACAAGAGAGCCACATAAAGTAGGCAGCTGCAAATGACTCTATTCTCATTTGCTATTAAAAATACCTTTCGGCGCCTTTTTTCCTCCCTGACATCCCCGCACAAAGTGCCCTGCAAAGTATGATACATGCACCTATTTAAATTAACAAAGGAATGACTTATTTTAATCTCACTGTGCTTTGGAGTGCTTTGGCCATTTGGATGAGTAATATATCATTACATACAACCTTCCAGCGCTGCAGGCAAGAAACTCAAAGCATGCAGCATTTGGTGGGAGCCAAACAATTTCTCTAGCACACAACTGTGTCAAATGCATGCATGTATTCATTATTGAGATCGAGAGGAAATGGCTTTGATGTAGTGGAAAAAAGAAGATGATGAAAGCACCTCTGCAATATGCGTGTCATTATCAATAGTGGCAGAGAGATACAATTGCACAGCCTCCTATGTGATTAGTAAATATACATATAATTGCTGTGGCCAATTATCAGAAAAATGAGATCGGTAATTACAAGACAGAAAATTAACTAGAACTCTTATTAAGGCTTTGTTTTCAATTCAAACAATTGGAAACTGCTGGAAAATACAATTAAATAAAAAGGAACTGAAGGGGTCAAGCCAGCCAAAAAGGGGGGAAAAAATCTCTAAGAGGTTGATAGAAGAATAAGAACGAAATGTTTCTTGGCTTTTTGCACACCCATCCTCTCTGAATTTATGCTATTCAGCCAGAGGATGGGAAGGTTAGTATTCTAAACTTAAAATTTTCATCAGTAAAGAAAGGCTTCCAGAGAGAAAGGAAAATGAGAGTGAAATAAAATCTTGCCAAGTTCAAAGGATCCATGCTGGCACTACACAGAGAGGACATGAAAAACGGGCTGGCGAATCAATCTACTCAAAAGAAACAAGGCACACAGTGACAAGACCAGCCCTCCATAAAGGTACTGTGAAATGGTCACAGAAGTCCCATTGGTTTGAAGAGCAAAAATAAAACATGATATCAATTTCAGCTGTGGCCTGTTTTAGGAAAGTCGTATATATCACTGGGCCTGCAAGATGCTAGCAGGTCTAGTTCAAGAAATGGCATTTTATCGTCTCAAATACCATAACTAAAAAGACAGTTCAAAATTTGAGGTACAGAAATTATGGATTCTGACCAGGAAGCTTCTCTAAGCCATTCCTTTATAGATTTTTCTTTTTTGGAGTTTATGGTACTGGAAGTGTCTGAGGGGCAGGAGCCTTAAAATGCAGTGTTTAGGAAAATAAAAGCCTGTATGCTGTCTTAATGTGGCGGAATATTTACAAAGATGGTTACAATTTCGGGCCGTTTTTCTTTTTTCCCAAGATCTGGTATAAAACACGACGCTAATGTTAGTCTCATTTCTAAGTATGGTACAAAGAGTAAATTAATGAATTATAGACCAGGCAACCCGATGAAGATGTCATTTTACCACGGATGAGAAAGGAAACGCGGAAATGTGACATCTTGCATGGGTAGTTAATTTTATTTAAGACCTGATATTGTAGCCTGTGAAGTTCCTCATACTATAAAACTAAGGAACACTGGGTGGTACCCATGAATAATTTATTTCACTTCTGGAAATGCTAGCCCACGTCGACTTCAGAGAACCACAGAGAGTGGATTCTCATCTCATTGGCAAAGAACCACTCATCAAAGATGCGGGGCGGGGGGGGGCTTCTCATGTCACATGGACAATGCCAGGCATTCCTTTTTACTTTAAAATTCATGTCTCTTGCATACCTTGAGGAAGAATTTTCTGAGCTGCAGAAGACTGGCTGGTAGGGGGCATTGGGAACGACCCACATAACCCCAGACAACAACAGCCTCGGAGAGCTTCCCTAAAAGTGTGCAGACCACAGGAGTGCAAAGGAGGACACCTGAGAACCTTCGCTTGCTGAAGGGTTTTGAAGCACGTTTTTCTCTTTTTAAAGAAAATAAAATCAGAAGTTGTGTAGTTCAGGATGTCAAAGAACCTATCTGTTATTTAGTTCGAGCCTAAGGGAAGGTAGGAAGGCAGCTCATACTAACTGTGGCCTTGGCTTCCTGCAACTCACAGGGACACCACTCCATCCTTGTGGGGCCCCAAGGGGCCTGAGAACCATCCCAGGAACCCTATAGCATCCAGCAAGGTGTTTGCTGCTACTTATCAAAAACATGGGTTTGGGAAAGATGGAGAAATACATTTGAAAAACAAACGTGAATTGAAGAAGCGGTTACACCAACAACTCTCAGAACTGGCTGATACTGACTCGAAATTGTTAATAAAAGTCACTCTCTTTAAGACCCTGGGTGCCATACTTCACCTTAAGGGCTTTTTGGGACACTTTTCTGTTGAACTTCTAAGCATGGAGGTGGTGAAGGGCAGAGTGGACGCAACCTTAACCAAAAGCCGAGAGTCTAGTCCCAAATCAACTTTAGAGCCCTGCTAAGGGGACGAGAGCTGGATCTTGTTATCAAGGAGGCAACGGTTACATAAAAACAGCTGCCATAAAGCTTTTCAGTAAGCAATTCTGGTCATCAAGAAGGACAGTCTCCAGGTCTCAGAGGTTTCGGTAACTACCTGGACAGCCTGTTTCGCTAAGCAACTGGAACTCCAGCTCGCAGTATGCCCGAACGGTGAAGGACAATGGGAAAGAAGTTTGAGTGATGCCTTTGCCTTGTGAATAATGAACGGTTCAGGAAGGTCAACCCATTACAACTGAAACTGTTTAATTATTAATTATGCGCAATCTATGGGCAAAAGGACAAGTTCAGAATGTTTAATGTATGCTAACTTCAACTGGACTCTCTCTGGGTGTTTTGTTATTAGCACTTGTCAGCAAGGTACTCAGGCATAAAAAAAGGCAAGCAGCAGAAAATCTGTGTGCATGTGTGTGCCTGTACCTGCTCACTCTAAGAGCAGGAGGAAGAGGAGGCGGAGGGGAAGCGGGAGGAGGTGCCATCTCAACATTAGCTGCCCTGAGCTCACATGCAGAGTTGTCAGGAAGTGCATTTTGTGGCCTTGAAAGCAGATACTCCAAATACAGAAAATAGGAATGCGAAAAATGCTTTTGAAATGACTTCCTTAAAGGGGAGATCATCATTTTAGAGGGATTTTATATTTTGGTGGTATTAGAGGTCTACGTTGGGGCCTCATGCTAGGTGACTAGCCCTGAACTATACCCTAAGCCTGTGATACCTTTTTTTTTAAACCATTATGTTTCTTAGCTTTTTGTTGTTGTTGATGCTGGGAATCTAATTCAGGACCTTGCGCTTGCGAGGCAGGCAGTGGAACCACTGAGCTAAATTCCTGGCCTAATGTTTCTTAGCTTTAAAAGGACCTATGTCTTTAATGTTTATTACTAACACCCCTCCCCAACACACACACACACACACACACACACACACACACACACACATAAACAGTGCAGGGAACAGCAGTAAAACCTGAATACAGTCAGTGGGTTGTATCTCGTGTCTAAGTCAGTTTCCTAGCTGTGATACTGCACTGACTCTTACCACCTGGGAAACTGGATGTATGAGTGTACACAGGATTTCTCCAGAATCTTTCATACCACTGCATGTGACCCTAAACCTATGTCAAAAAAGAAGGTTTAAACAGATTAAAGTAAGGGACTATTTTTTTGGTACCGGGGATCGAACTCAGGTCTGTGCTTACAAGGCAGATGGTGGCACCACTGAGCTAAATCCCTGGCCCAAGGGGCTATTTGTTTTACAAAAAGCTCAGTTTCTTAGTGGAACTCTGTTTTGTGCAAAGAAGCCTGGCTCAAGTATACTAGTGGGAAAAAAGGGGACTTTTGTTAAAAAAATACTCCTGAGAACTCCATTGTGGCCTTAACTCCTAATTAAAGATGACCGTGGATGGAACTTGATAGTGATGTTAACTCAGACCCTGATGGATAAGCACACGATATTGTAGTAAAGTGATATATTCATCGTGGATGTATTCATTCAACAATTTTCTTGAGCACCTACCACGGGGAAGACAATGAGTCCAGCATTGTGGGTTGGCTGATACTTGATCTATATATGAATAGAATTTGTGTTTTGACGGATGAGATCTGGATCCCTAATAAACAGCCCCATAAGAGG